GAAGCCTGGTAGGAGGAGTGAGTGTTGACCTCTCAGCCATGTGTAGCCTAAGAAGACTTGACCCTGACCTCCAGCGCTCATCCCGGGGAGAACTGAGAAGGGCAGCTGCCCGGGAAGGGTGAACCCTGCACACATGTGCTGGCTGCTCCCTGCGCATGACCTCTGTGGGTCCCCACAGCAACAGTGAGTGACAGGTACTATTATTCCCATTCGACTAATTAAGAAATTGGCCTTGAGAGACATGAAGTGATTTGCCCAAGGTCACCCAGCATTCAGGGTCATAAGTCAAGGCTCAAACTCCAGAGTCCGCACTTCTCTTCCGCAACTATTGCGTCCACAGACCTTTGCATGCATTCCAAACAGTGGGCTTTCCTAGCTTAGAGCGGAGTGGCCAAGAGAGAAGGCCTGCTACAGAGACCCACACCATCAGGATCTAGAAGGTCACCCAACAGAATGTCGTATACATATGCATCTGGATCTGGATCCAGAACTACAATCTCCAGCACATCAGAGAATAGAACATTTTTTTTTAAAGGTTATTTATTTTGAGAGAGAGAAAGAGACAGTGTGTGCACAAGGGCAGGGCAGAGAGAAAAGGAGAGAGAGGATCCCAAACAGGCTCCACACTGTCAGTGTGGAGCCCGACATGGGGCTCGACACCATGAACTATGAGGTCATGACCTGAGCCAAAAGCAAGAGTCCGATGCTTAACTGAGCTACCCAGGTGCCCCGAGAATAGAACAGTTCAATAGCTTGGGGCCATTAAGGGCAGGGGCAGATGGTCCTTTCTATCTCCATATTCCCCAAAGCTATCCCAATATTGCAGTGCATTATGGGAACTGATAAAAGGGTAGCTATAAGTCATTGATCAAAGTTGAATTTTTGTGTGCTCAGGAAGGAAGGCTGGTATGTCCGTGACCCATCTTAGAAGCAGTCCATCCACAATTATCCTGAAAGGATACAGTACTTGGAAGAGAGAAGGGTGGTCACCATCAGATCTGTGCTGAGTTTCTAACTGGACATTGCTGAGCTAAGCACAAGGGGCTAGAAGGCCCCCCACTTACCCGGAATAAAAGGGATCCATCACTGTTAGACACTTGGAGGGAAAAACATGGTTTGGAGTTTGACCCTGGCTCTCCTCTTGGGGATGACAATGTAGGACAAGTTACAGTTCCTCTCTCTGAACGCTGGTTCCCTCCCCTTGCCACCAACAACATGTGTGTTGACTCCCTCGCATGGTGTTGGAGAGTTAGTAGTCTTAAGTGTAGGTGCCTGGTGCCAGGTACACAGCTGGAGCTCAATATATGTACTATGACCTCAGGCAGTAAAAATCAAGGATGCTGAGAGTGGGGGAGAGCTCACTGGAGGCCAATCTTGGAAGGCTCCACGGAAGAGGTGAGATGATAGGGTTGTATAATGATAGGGAGGATCCAGGGGGACCAGGAAGATGTTCCAGGCAGGAGAACAGCGGGAACACAGTCTCAGACATGAGAATTCCTAAGCTGCCTGCTGGCCCCTCCCTGAGGGCAATCATGGCCCCACTGGGGTGAAGAAGGGGACCAGAGTTGTGAATTAAAAGGATAGCAGCGGGCCTGCTCTGACCTCCAGTATGTTGGAGAGCAGCCTGGAGGGTGGATCTGAAATGGGCTTCATATTTCCCAGTGTCCCCAAGCATCTGTGGCCTACCTGGCCTACACTCGGCCCGGCACCCCCCCACCCTGCCTCTCAGGTGTCATACGATTGTTACACACTTCCTCTCTCTGTGGCTTACTCTCAGCACTCAGCTCTGTCAGCTCTCTACCCGTCTCTCTCTCACACATGCACACACACTGAGAACAGCTCCTGGCCCCCATCACCCTCCACATTCTGGCAGAAGGATGGTGGCTGAGTGCTGTGTGGTGTCCAGGCCAAAGCAGGCCTTTCTGGCCCTCCAGACTAGACGTGGTGCAGACAGCGCTAGGCTTGGGCGGCAGGAGATCTGACCACTGCACGGGACAGAACTGGTTAGGAATGCACTAGTCTGCAAGGAACAGACAGGCCACACTGTCATGGCTTAAACAAATGGGTGCTTATGTTTCTTGCTCGAGGCCATTCATCATTGCCCTCAGGGAGGGGCCAGCAGGCAGCTTAGGAATTCTCATGTCTGAGACTGTGTTTCTTCGATTCTCTTGGCTGGGACATCTTCCTGGTCCCTCTGTATCCTCTGTCATTATACAGTTGAGGAGAGCTGTCGCTGGGAGTAAGAACAGGAGTCTGGGGCTTGAGAGAGCTGGGCCCCATTCTGGTTCTCCTGCCAACTAGCTGTGCAGCTGCAGACAAGTCACTTCACCTCTTCGAGGCTCCGTTCTTTTTCCACCCTCCAGCAGCAAGGGTAGAACTGGATTCTTTTTAGCTTCTGACATCTCAGGATGAGCTTCCTCGCTAACATGAAAGTAAGCACCGCCTCTGCACATACACAGCTTGGTATGTTGATTTATGTCTTTTCAGTCTAAGGAGACCAAGACAGAACCTACTTTAATATGGAGATAGGGAACAAGGACAGAAGAAGGCATTCCGAGAATGACTTCCAGATCCAGATCTCAGATCTCCCTCTTCCGTTCCTTTCAGGTCATAGATCCATTCCATGTATAACAATGCTTTGCTTTTTCTTTTCTTCTTTTCCACTTCTTCCTCTTTTTTTTTTTTTTTCATGTCCACATGCATACCTTGCCTCCCATCTCCCCATTTCCAGGTCTTTATAGTACCATGATGTCATTTGACATAAGTGCAATGAAAAGCTCAAAGTGTTTCTTTAATTCCAGCTCTCATGAAAACCAGAAGAATCTTGAGTTAAACAGTGTCAACTTTGCTTCCTGTCTTTTGGCATTCACTAATTTATTATTTAATGTGTGCTGTGGTGAGGTGAGAAAGACATTTAATTGGAAACCTCATCCCCCAGCTACTTCTTTGGCCAATATAGAATGTTCTGAATTGTCCAAACCCTGTCTCTCTGCTCCTACCCGAGGCTGAAACCCTTTTGTGGGTCCTCTGTTTTCATGGCTGACCTAGTTGACATTCAAGATGCTGAATTGAATGTCACGCTACGTCCAAGCTTGGCCTGACTCCTGCCTCCCCTTCTCTTGACGTTTACCCAATCCCACTATGTTTTTTCCCACCTCTGTGCCCCTGTGCAGGCTGCCCTTCTGCTTGGAATGCCTTTCTACTCATCCTCACCGGCTGACTCTACTCATGGTTTCAGACTCAGTGTAAATAAATGATCTCTTTCCCAGGAAGCTTCCCTTACCCAACCCCCCAAATTGGGCTAAATGCCCTACTGGGGCTCCACAATCTTGTGCTCACCCACATTTCAGTTGCAGTGTATGAAGCACACATTTACACTAATGGGAATTCAATCATGTGTGCTTGTCCAAACAGGGAGAGACAGAATAACATTTTAAACAAGGCTGCCATTGGCCCCAGTGAACACTTGCCTGAGAGGGTAAGATTGAAGCCCCGAATGCATCTTAGTCCTCATGTGTTTTTGTGATGGGAGCGTCTGTCCTCTCTGGGTATGACGCTGGTGTTTAAAGACATGTATTTCTCACAGAGCAGGAAATGCCCCAGACATAGCAAGATGGTTCACATGCTGGGGAAGGAAGAAAGGAAGACAGGCAGGCAGGCAGGCAGGAAAGAAGGGAGGAAGGAAATAAGAGGGAGGAAAGTAAGAAAAACAAGGCATACCCACTACAAGAACTTATCTGCTAGGGAAGTTTTAGGACATGGGTTCAAATCCCAACTCTGCAGCTAACCCATTTGGATACTTTGGTCAAAGCACTGTAATCTGTTTAGGCTTTGGATAGCAAGATGTGTCTGCCTGTCTTTATAGGGTTACCCTGAGGGGCACCTAGCTGGCTCAGTCGGTGGAGCATGAGACTCTTGATCTCCGGGTCATGAGTTCAATCCTCACATTGCGCATAGGGCTTACTTAAAAAAATTATATATATACGCATATATGAATATAATATATATATGCGTATATATATTACCCTGAGGCTTAAATGAGGCAACAAATCCACAAGGTCCCTGAACCAATAAACGCCATCCACCGCAGTGCCAGGGTCTGCGCGGGACCACGGGGCACATGCAGAGGCAAGGGGGCAAGAAAGGCTCCCAGTAGCATTTCCAACGTTCCAGCCTGCAAGCGATGCTGAGCTCGGCCCAAGGCTGGCACCCAGAGATGCTTCCAGCCCTTCGGCACTTACATGCTGGTGTAGAAGAGCCCGGTTATAAAACCCCTACGGGCATTTAGGAACTGGTCCCTGGGCGGGGGGGGGGCTTCAAGCCCAACCGTAGGCACTCTCGTCTTCCGAATGGCATTTAGGTGGGTCCAAGTCCATCCTCCTCCAGACAGCGAGCTCCTCCGGGTGCCGAGCCTAGCCCCCTGCTACCCAGAGCTGGAGGCAGGAAAGGTGGCTGCATCTTCGATCCCGGGGTCGCGGTTGATCATACAGAAGCCCGGCTCCTCCCCGCAGCCCCGGCCCTGTAACTGCTGCCGCGGCTCGATTCTGTGCAGCGCGGTCCCGCGGGCGCGACCTCAACCTCGGCACACAGTAGGCGCTCTATCAACACTGTACATGCCAACCCAGCAGTCCTGCTCAAGCCACCGCCCAGGACCATGTGCCGTCTCTTTTCGGGGGCGCCTGCTGCGCCCGCCGCGACCCACCACCCCTTCCCGTCCCAGAGCGCCGCCTCTTCCACCCCAGACCTGACTGAGTCGCCCCTAGCAACAGCGGCCGGGCCAGCTTCCTCGGGCCGCGCTGATTGGCCGAGTTCCGGGAGGCGGCGGTTCCGTCACTTCCGGCATCCGGAGGCAGCAGAGGAAGCCGAGGGGCGGCCATCTTGGGTCCGTGAGGCTCTGAGGTACCGGGAGCGGCGGCGGCCACCGGGTGGAGGCTGAGGCGGCAAGCGAGCCGGAGGGAGCAGAGCAGCCGGGCGCAGGCGCCGCCTCCGCAGCCCCCTCCATGGTCGGCGCCCGCAGCCCGCGGCGGCCTGTCTTGCGGTCCACCTTGTCCACATCCTCCTCCTCCTCCTCCTCCTCCTCTTCGGGGGCAGCCGGCGGCGCTGTGTGGAGGCCCCGGCGTTGAGATCCGCGGTGCGACGGGCGAGGGCGGAGGAGGAGGCGAGGGGGTCCGGGCCCGCGGGGCGCCCTGAGGCGCGGGGACGCCGGCGGGCCGACCGCAGCCCGCCGCC